CTAGGAGGTGCACTGCTAGGAGGCATCCCAAAAGATGCATGGGTTTGAGGCGTATAAGCTGGGCCATAATCTTGATCCATATTACTTCCGTCACTAGGTCACCAGAGTAAAAGAAAATCAAACATATAAAGGAAAAACACATTAGTAATGGAAAAGAAAAATTTCAATTTCTTTTTAGAAATGTTAAAAATTATAATAATGTTAAAATAATAATTAGGGTAAAAAAATTTTAAGTATATAATTAAAGACTTAGGTCCATTTAACATGTCCACCCTAAATTATCCTTGAGTGCCAAAAACCAATTAATTCCAAAATTTAAAAAAAAAATCTGTATACTTATCCATGTCGTCGTTGTTAGGTGCCATCAAATCGAGTGCGACCCTATGAACAAGAGATCTGAAACCAGTCCTATCCTGCATCATCCTCAAACTTCCTGACACACAAGAGCCCACTGCAGCAGTCACATTGTCAATCAATATGGTTGAGGGCCTTCCTTTCCTTTGCTGACAACCCTCTACTCTTCCCAACATCATGTTCCTCTCCAAGCACCTCCTAGTAAGATGTCCCAAGTCTATTAGGCGAAGCCTCATCATTCTTGCCTCCGAAGAGTACTCTGGCTGCACCCTCTCTAAGACATATCTATTCAATTTCTTGGCCGTCCGTGAAATGTTCAGTGCTCTTCTCCAACAGCACAGCTCTTGTCCAGGTTTCAGATGCATAACTAGTAATCAGAATAACCATGGCCTGAATCAGACACACCTTAGTCTTCAAACTGACATCACTACTCCTCAATAATTTTGAAAGGTTCCTAACTGCAGATTTTCCTGTTGCAATGTGTCTCCTTATTTCCTGACTGCTTGTACCAAGGGTGTTCACTGTGAATCCAATCAAGATGAAGCTGCTGACAGTTTCAATCTCCTCTCCATCCATCATAACACTGCCCATTGGTCCAGTGGTAAGAATCTTTGTTTACTTGATATTGAGATGCAATCCATACAGAAGGCTGCATTCCTTGATCTTCTGCAACAAGGGCTTCAAATTCTCCTCACTTTAAGCAAGATTGTGTCATCTGCATAATGCAGGTCACTGATGAGTCTCTCTCCAATCCTGATGTCACACTCCTTTTTAGAGAGTCCAACTTCTTGGATAATTTGCTCAGCATGGAGAATGAACAGGTATGGAGATAGAATACATCCCTGACGCATTCCCTTTCCAATTCCAAACCATGCAGTGCTCCCCTGCTCTGTTCGCACAACAGCCTTTTGATCCAGATATAGGTTCCTCATGAGCACAAGCAAATACTCTGGGATTCCCATTCTTCTCAATGTCAGCCACAATTTGTCATGATCCACACAAATGTCTTTGCATAGTCAGATATCTAAATTCACTATCTATAAAGTTCCTTTAAGATTAAAAATCATATATATTCCATCAAGTTGAAAATGCCTCTGATTATAAAATATATCCAGATTGAAGAGATGTTTACATAGAAAATGTGACACTGGAAGTATTTAGATGCCTTGAATTATAAAATATTGTAATTTCAGAGCAGTTAAAATGAATATGCAAAAATATAACAAATGTACAAATGGGAGTGATTTAAAATTTTAGACTAAAAGAAAAGGTGCTTTTGAGGACAAAGTATAATGATCTTAATTTTCTAATACTTTATCCCTATTCAACTATAAAAACAACTTTTACTGTATTAGTTTTTAAAAGTCAGTATCCTTTCACAAACATACTAAGGAGGAGGGAATACAGGAGCATTCATATCATAAATCATACCTCTCTTTGATGAATGGCATTGCAGGACCTGAATGAAGCAAGTCTAATTTTCCAACAGTCCAACTCTGACGGTAAACACACTCTTCAGGTAATTT